CCATATGCCAGAGGTGGTGGGTTCAAACCCAGCCGTATCAAAAAAAAAAAAAAAAAAAAAAAAATGGTAGGTGCTGTCCTAGAAATGTGCACAGAGGTTCTTCTTCAAAATTCAGTTAGTAGTTGGATAAAATGTTTAAAGGCCACTGAGTTAAGGGCTCTTGGATATGAACTCAAACATGGGAGCAGATACAACTTTTCTGATTCAGGCGGCTCCTATGGCTCAAAGGAGTAGGGCACTGGCCCCATATGCCGGAGGTGGAGGGTTCAAACCCGGCCCCAGGCAAAAACTGCAAAAAAAAAAAAAAAAAAAAGTTATAAAAAATCTTTCCTGATCTTGCCTGAAAAAAAAGCAAATTTTATATAAAGATATATATGTATATAGCTTTATATACTAATACAAGTATATCAAATAAAAACCTCGCAAAGGCTGGGTCTGGGTGCAGTGGCTCACACCTGTAATCTGAGCATTCTGGGAGGCTGAGGCAGGTGGATGGCTTAAGCTCAGGCATTCCAGACCAGCCTGAGCAAGAGCAAGACCCTGTCTCTAAAAAAATAGAGGGGTTGTGGAGGGTACCTGTAGTCCCAGCTACTCAGGAGGCTGAGGCCAGAGGATCACTTGAGCCCAAGAGTTAGAGGTTGCTGTGAGCCATGGCCCTCTACTGAGGGTGACAAAGTGAGACCCTATCTCAAAAACTTCTAAAGTAGTGTTTTAGCACTCTGCCTGAAACAGAACCAACTTTAGGTCAGGTATTGATCTGTCCAGCAGCCCCAGACCAAGTGGGCGTGCACTGCAGCATTTGAGAGATGACTCAGGAATGTTTGGTGTATGCTGCTCAAATTGTATGGCTCCATGAAGGTTCGGGAGGGGAACCAGAAGTACCACCAGGATAGGATGTGGGTGGTTACTCAGCTTTCTTCCCTCAAACTCCTCTATCACAGGAAGAAACACTTGGTAGCCAGGTCATTCCTGACGCTTCATGCTTCCGGCTGACTGCTCATGGACAGGTGTTGTTGTTGGACCCAAGAGGGCCTGAAGGAAAGAGAAGCAAGCCCTACTGTTCCCACGTCTTCAGACAGCAGAACTTTCCATCCTGCTCTTCCGCAGGTCTAAGGGAGGGAGCACATGCCTTCCTAGGTTCACAAATGCCTTGTTTTTGAAGCTGGCATTCTGACCCACAGGAAGGGTGTCTGTGGCTGTCTTTCACCGTGTGTGCCTGTGTCGTTCTGGGGCAGGGAGGAGGAATTGGAATCAGACCGACTTGGGGAGGGATGTTTCCTGCATAGACACATCTTCCTAGCATCTTTCTCGTCCACATCCATTCTTTATAATCTACCCTCCAGCTTTTTAGCAGAATGCCTCGTTTGATCTTGCAGTTGACATGTAGCAAAATCAGTGGGTCAGAAGTCTGTATATTTGTGGTAAAGAGGCCACTGCTTAAACATTGCTTCATTGACTTTTGAAGGCAAAATTGCTTAAGAACAGCAGGGTCCTGCTGCCACTTTGGGATGAATGGACAGATCCTGGCCTTGAACTTTGGCCATTGGATGCAAAAACACTTTACTCCAAATTGTGCATTTTGCTTTTAATATTTTAATGAGTGACTGGGCTGTGCTGGGAGTCACAAAGGGGCACAGTGCTGTGTCCTTCATTTTATTAAGATTTTGAGACCTTATAAAATCTTTAATTTTTAAATTAATAATTTTATTGTATATATTATAAATGTTTTATGAAATGAATCCATAGTAATCCATGTTTATAGATATTTTAGGCAGAAAGCAGTTGTTTGGTGCTGTCTAAAAGAGAAAGGATGACCTTAAATGGGTTGATTTTGTAAAGTTGTAGGAAAATTGCCATCCGTGTTTTAAATTGTGAAATGGGTAGTGGTTAAATGGCAGCTACTTTATAATTATTTAAGTGCTTATATATGTGTGTTATAGCCTTTTCTGTATGTCCCTTATAATTCACAGTGAAAAAGCAAAGGGGGGGGGGAGATTTATCCCACTTCACAGTATTTTCTGGAGCTACACCTAGAATACCTTTTCACTGGTTAATTTTATTAATATTTGGCTGTTCTCTTTTCTCATCTTCAGTATAGAACTGAACTTATGTGTGGTCCATAATACATGAAGACATAAGCCTTTTATTAGGGGGGTGGTTTGTCAGATCACTCTTCTGTGTAGCTCAGGAGTATGAGCTAATGTAGGAGGGAAGATTCTAAAAAGTGCCATACTGATGAGGGGAGGAAAAGTTTCGAAAAGGAAGAAAATAGTGCAAAATGGAAAGTCAGCAAACCCTAAGTATTTCATGATCTAAATGTCTAACCTTTGCAAACTTCAATAACCAACATATAACCCAAGTTTACTGGATTGATTAGTTTTCTTCCCAAATGGTGCTATGGTCAAATCTCACTGATTTGAGCTAATGAGTAAGATGGTTAAAATATAGTATTTTGTAAGTGTTATTAAGTGCATATTTAATAACGTGAAGAATGCTAATGCTGCCTAATTAGGCCTTTTTAAAGATTAGCATATGAATATTATATAAATGGATACTTCACAAGTACTCCTAGGAAGTGAATGCTTTTAAGTGGTGTTTCCCTATGTAGTCTCATTTTCCTAACAAAGCTTTTAAAACTCAGGCTTGTCCAGTTCACATTAGTTATGGAGTGGAGTAGTACAAATAAAGAGATATTTAGTACCTATCAACAGACCGCAGATAGACAGGGAAGAGCAGCTCCCCATTTAGAGTATGGTTTTGATTGCTTTGCTGACGGAACCGTATACCTCATCTCGCCTGCATTGCATACACGAGAGTCGTATGACTGTTATGTTAGCAAATTAGTCCTGACGGCTGGACAATTTATTTTGAAAGTCTGGTGGTACTGGTGGTTAAGTGCTTATGAGAGAGAGCACACACATGATGTTTTCCCTTAAATTCTTTTGGAAAACTAACTAGTGTTTCATCCTGAAAATTGTAATTTGGATATTGTAAATTACCAAATAGTACTTTCTTTATGAAAGAGAGAAACAAAGTATCCTTGTCTTAGATGGCTACCAGGTCTTCTCCCTGGGGGACATCCCTTTCACTTGTCCTCTGAAGAGTCTCTCTCTCTCCCCCAGTTGATCCTTACCTTAGCATGACTTTTGAACTATTACTATGTGATTTGGAGTACAGCTCTGAAGAGAGACTAATTGGTCTCAAAGCTTGCCCTACCACTCATGAGCTATGGGACCTTGGGAAAGCCCATTTTATAATTAATTGATTAATTTTATTTATTTATTCATTTATTTTTAATTAATTAATTAATTAATTAATTTTGAGACAGAGTCTCACTCTGTTGCCCTGGATAGAGTGCCGTGACATCATAGCTGAACAACCTCAAACTCCTGGGCTCAGGAGATCCTCTTGCCTCAGCCTCCCAAGTAGCTAAGGCTATAGGTACCTACTACAACACCTGGCTAATTTTTTTATTTTTAGTAGAGATGGTGTCTTGCTTTTGCTTAGGTTGGCCTCAAACTCCTGATTGCAAGTGATCCTTCTGCCTTGACCTTCCAGAGTGCTATAATGCTTGGCCTAGAAAACTCATTTTTTTTTAAACTTTACAAATAGGATAATATTAGTATCTACTTCATAGGATTATTTTGAGGATTATGTAAGTAAACAGATGTGAGGTGCTTGGACTTGGCACATGATAAGTACTTAATAAACACCAGCAGTTATTACTATCATGGACTCAGCTATGTGACTCAAACTCTCTATGGACACACCCTGCACAGAGCAGCTCGAGGAAGATACACCTGCACGGCATATAGGCTTAACTGAACAAGGCTGTGGGCATCTGGCTAATTTCTCATCAACACTGCCTCCTCCCAGCATGAGGTGCAGGCAGCTGGGGGAGAGGAGCGGACACTGTCACCTGAGCCCACACATCTCACTCCTGCAGGCTTAGCAGCCTCTGCCCTGAGGCTGGAACCCAGACTGCCTGGAGGAGGTGGGCGCTTTGCTTACCGTCCTGAGCAGGACTTCCAGCACTGTCTGCTCTGGGCTCCCTCTGCTGGTCCATCTAGAACAGGTGCCAATCTGTGGAAAAACAGTGTTTAACAATTCAGTTTTAAATTGGGGGGAATGTTTGCATAAACAACGCATTTGAAAGCTGTTTTTGTACATGAGTGATACAGAGCATGGTGATTGTACTCTTCTTGACATCTGAACTGTAACTTAGGTCGCTTTCAGGTTTGGAATTAAAGTTTTTTGGTTCGATTTTGAATGGGGGCTGTCATGATGAGCTGAGAAGTTTCTTCACAGCCTAGTCATCAGGAACTGATCATTGTGTTTTCTGTTCCAATATGTGGTACTAGGTGTCTCAGAATCTTATTTTAGCAGTCTGAAGAATACCCATGATATGGGACTTAGTTCACTCTGAATGTCTGAAAAGGTCACAGCTCAGAACACCGGGACCCTGTCATGTGGAGGGCTCAGCACATGTTGGAGAATAGTACCTCAGATATTGCATGACTCATTATTTACTTGGGGTTAAAACTTATCCGTAAAATGTGCTGTGATACTCCTAAAATTGCATTTTAAAGACATCGTCTGCTGCTTTGCCTTTTCCTTATCACTGTCTCCTTTCTTTCCTTCCCCCTCTTTGCTACTAGGATCAAACAGCATAAACAGGATAACTGCACACATGGAAAATGGAGAAAATGAAGGGACAACTAAAATTATTGCACCTTCACCCGTGAAAAGGTCAGTACAGCTTCATTGAAGAAACATACGGCTATTTGCTATCGACAGAAGAATTTTTCCTATTGACAAGGTTAAAAATCTTTTCACTTTGATAATACTTTTGATCCACGGGTTCCTGTAAATAATCTCTGGGCCGTAGACTACTTTAAAATGGCAGTGAAATAGAAAACATCAGGATCTGCCTCTTTCATTTGAAGAAAATGCTCTTTTTTTTTAATAGCAAGGTGAGTTCACAGATTGTGGTCTGCATTCTCAGCAGCAAAGTGAAAATTCCATGAGATCTTTAAAATGGCGTGATCTAATGGACTCCCTCCGAGGGCCTGGTGGAACAAAGCAGATGACATTCATGTCTAACGTGCGGTGTTTATCACAGGGGTGCGCTGAACTGTGGCCCTGGGAAGAGGGTTCATGGTATTTAGGGGCATTGAAGCCTCGGAAGCCAGGAACTGCATATGGATGAAGACTTGTCATGGTCCTCTGCATCAATATTCCCAGGGGCATTCCCCAGTGGAAAAACCTTCTCTTAATACATTACATGGATTGTTTCCCTGAAAGCTCAGCCTTGTTCTCTGTTAAGATACGGTCGCAGTCATTTTTCCTCTCTCCAGTTATCTTCGTGGAACAGCGTCGGCACACAATGGGCGGCTTTCATCAGCTCCGTTTCTCCATACAGGCCCCACACACATCATGAAGTCCAAGCACTCGGCTATGTGTGACCTGCGGAGACGTCTTACATCACCAGCTCAGTCTTTTATTAGTAAATAATGGTGTCTTCATTCAGCTGGAATGTGGACACTTTGAAGACTATAGTTTGTAATTTCTCAGCCCAAGATAATTTTAGGATCTGAAGATTCTCAGCGTTGCAGCATTTTACCCAGGGGGTTGCCTGTGTTTTGTTTTGTGCTGTTCCAAACCATTTACAGCTTCTCCTTTTGGAATGATACATTCTTTACCGGTGCATACCCTTCAGTTTGACGTGCTTCCCCCTCATTGGCCTCTCAGCTGTGAAGGAATAGTCAGCTTCCTCTGTATGTATAGGGGATGCTTGTGGCATAGCCCACCTAACAACAGTAATCTTGCGTGAAATTCAGATCCCAAGCCCCTTTAGGATGTGTGTGAGGAGTTTCATCGCTTTTGCAATGGCATTCCTGCAAACTGTACTGTGACCTGAAGGGCTTCCGAATTTTCCCACTCAAGCTCCAGGAGAGAGAGAACTCAGGGAGCAGATGTGATTAACCACCCGGGGTTCATTATTGACTTCCGCCTGCTCTCTCTGTTCCCCGTCCCTCTGCCTTTTCTCCATCTCCCCTTTTCCTTCTTGCTTTTTCTTTCTGATTTATAAACACAGGTTCTACTGTTGTTTTAGACATCTGCCATATTTGTCACTTTTTCCCATTTCAGAAGATAAGTTTTCACCTTGGAAGTTTCATCTTCAGAGGTTTTTAACCTTTATAAAAATATTTTTTATACTCATATATAAAACCTACCTACTATACTGTGAGTTATATGCCTTTGTCAGAGGTATAATTTTATAGGTATTTTTTGTTGTTTTGAGACAACATCTCACTGAGTGACATGGCACCAGCCTAACTCCCAGTAACCTCAAACTCCTGGGCGCAAAGCCATCCTCCTGCCTCAGCCTCCCAAGTAGTTAGGACTACAGGTGCCCATCACAACACCCCAGCTACTTCTTTGTATTTTTAGTGGAGACAGGGTCTTGTTCTTGCTCAGGCTGGTCTCAAACTTCTGATCTCAAGGGATCCTCCCACCTCAGCCTCCCAGTAAGTACTAGGATTATAAGCGTGAGCCACTGAGCCCAGGAAATTTTGTAGGTTCATATTAATTCCTACCAGGATATAGTGTACTGGGGTATAAATTTATTTTCTTGTTTTGACTGTGTCATTTTACTTCTCCCCTCTTTGCTGCCTGTTATAAAGAATTCTCCTGTGACCATATTCTAGAATAATTATGTAAAAGATTCCGTAGAAAGCCTAGGTTTAAAGTGGAGTTGGGCATTAAGTGTTCTGCTTTATCTGAAGCCTGGTCTCCTGAGGAAATGAGAGGTGACACCCCCTCCCCCACTGTGGACCCAAGGCTTCTGATGTGTCCCTTCCTCTGTGTCTCTCCCTGTGTTTCTAAAACAATTTGCTGGGATTGAATAACAAGTTGGTTATATTTACCTTCTTAGGGCAGAAAGATGATACTAGGGCAGGAAATAGCATTTGAAAGTCATTCCGATTTGGAAGGATGAAGCTGAGATATGGCGGAAGCCGGGGAAGGTCAGTTTGGGTAGCCTGAAGTCCAGAGCCAGAGCCAGGGGAGCAGCCTCGTGAGCCTGGAGCCAGGCTGGCTTCCTTCGCCCTTTCTTCTTTCTTAGCTCAAAGCTTCATATTCTTCAGGTGGATTCCCTTCAGGGTTTCTTAACAGTGGATGAACCTGGCTTTTGTTGACTTAAAGCAGCAAAACCAGAAAGAAAGGAGGGGGAAGGCCCCCAAGTACTTGCTGGAGACATATTTTCTAGTGAGCCATCTCATGTTCTTCTTGGAGTCCATGGTATCAACAAGCAAATAAACACATTTTAAGATTCATTAAATAGTTTTAAGAAATAAGTATGTGACCTTGTTTTCGTTTTCTAGTTGATTTATTTTCCATACTTTTGTTTTAATTAAAGCTTTAAGAAAGCAAAGAATGAAAACAGCCCTGATACCCAAAGAAGCAAATCTCATGCTCCGTGGGAAGAAAATGGCCCCCAGAGGTAAAAGAAATCACTGTGTTTACAAAGGAGAACGGTAGAAAAAGGGTTAGCAATCGCAGCTCCTCGAATAAAGGAGCCCAGCTGCTGTGTGCTGGTCACAGCCGCAGTGGCTAGGCAGTCACATTTCTAAATCAGCGTGACGGGGTGGGGGGTGGGGAAGTTCTAGAGTGAAAACCAACAGTCTGTTTCTTAATGTGAAACTTCTTCCTAGAAAAACAAAAGGGAAACCTAATGAATATTAAGAGATTGTCTGAAATGTCATTATAATAGTTTAGTATAAGATAATATTAATGTATTTCTGAAAACCCTAAATGGCATAGTAATAATTCCCCCGTTTCATAGTTTCTGTAAAACTTTTAGGTGAGAACAGTAGCTGATGAACCATGATGTTGGAAGACCTTTATTCCTAAAACTATGGACAGCTTTAGTTTCTTTCTGTTTCTAACTACTCCACCACTGACAGACCTGCGTTATTACTTACTGGTGCTACTGTGGATATGACTACCTACGGTTCAAATTCTAGCTGTCACTTCCTACCTACTTTAAATAATAATTTTATTAATTATTCTGAGTTTTTCCACTAAATGGCTGTACTAATTACACCTTAATACTGAAGGCTGATAGAAGATTAACTGAGATAACGACTCTAAAGCCTTCGGCTCCATCAGTGCTTGGGGGTGGGGGGACTCATTGTAAATGTGAATTTTTACTGATATCGTTTGTGTGTGTTCATTTCTTGCTATTGAAGGCTAGTGAGACGGATGAATCCATTCCTGCAAAATAATGGCTTCTATGACTTTATGATTTGATTTTGCCAAATCTTGCGTTTCTCCTCTCCCATTAAATCTTGTCGGCAAGGAGAACCTTGTGCCTGTGGTGCAGGTGCCCCAAGCTGCCAGCTGTGCTGCTAGGAAGGCCTCTCTAGACTGGGTTGGGGTGTTTGCTCTTCCCAGCCCCCTGGGAGCACTTGTTTACCATTCCTCTTTCATTCCAGTGGACTCTACAACTCTCCCAATGACCGCATGAAATCCCCAAAGTTCCCCTACACGCGTCGCCGAAACCCTTCCTGTGGAAGTGACAATGACTCTGTACAGCCAATGAGGAGAAGGTGAGCTGACGTGGCCTCTCTCATTTTAGCTTTCAACAGAAGCTTTGGGTCCCGGGCATGTTTTCATAACAGATGTTTTTCATAATGTCACTATGGTCTTCCCAAAGTAATAAGAAGCTTACTCTTTTGGGCACAAGATAAGCATTCATGTTAAATAGCCAAAAAGTTCAAGAATAATTTCATGAAGTATTGAGAGGAATTTGCTTTCTATATTTTAAGTAAGACTAATACATTAAAAATATGCGTATGATATAACATGTATATTATATAGTATATGTGATATACAGTATAATTAACGTGTATTTATATATATTAAATGTTCCCTCCTGGGGAGACAGAACCACATTTAAAGATAAGCCTTCCTAGTTGAGTCTGAGTGCCCTGTCCACCAGACTGATATTGTTGATAGGTGTGAGGAATAACCCTTTCAAAGCACAGAAAATCCTCTTGGATTTCAACTAACAGGTCAGAATGTTGGTGGGGATTAAATTTGTATATGAATGCTTAAATTTTGTTAAAATTAGACCTTATGCAGAAGTTTTGGACTCTACAGAGCAGTCCAGGCAGTGTGGCCGGTGCAGAGAAGACCCAGACATGGCCTGCCAGTGAAATTTGTTTCACTCCTTTATGACAGGGACTGTGTTTTACTTTGGGCACCTACATAATTGGCACTGTGTAAGTGACTCTTAAGCAGTTCAGGTCATGATGTCACATAACCATCTATCCTCTTTTTCTATACACCGTGGGTTTGGAGGCAGAGCCTTTCTCTCCTCCACCGTTTAGTCATACTTACTGGTCCTTCGCCATTTGATCCCTTCTGCTTCTGTTAGTTTCCTGTAGTCTTGTCCCCCAGCTTTCTCAAACCAGGTCCCGATTCACCGAAATCCTTTGACGGCTGAGAAGAGAGAGGTCTGTATCACGTGGTAGAATTGAGAAGGGAGGTAGATGAGGACCAACAGTGATTAGGTAGAGTAATTGGGGTAATGGTTGGCATTTGTTTGGCATTGACCATGTTCCAAGTTCTAAACAAGTGCTTACTGTACAGTATCTCATTTGCTTCTGAGATAACCACATGGGAACACACATTGGTATCATTCCATCAGGGGGCATTTCCAGCAGAGAGGGACTAAGCAGAGAATTGGCGCACAGGTGTGAGTGGATTGAAGGCAGACAGTGGTGGTCCCCAGAGATCTGGCTTCTGTTCTGTTCCAGGAGGAATACGAGGAGAGAAAGGGGTGCCACCACCTAGAGGCCAGAAGCTGCCTCCACTTTTGGGTGGCTCTCCTGAGCCTTTGCCTCCTGCTGACACAGCTGTTGGTACCACCACAGTTGCTGAGCAGGAATCACTCTTGCTGCCACCGTGGGAGGTACCAACTCTGTAGTTAATGCTGCGGAGCCCCCTTGCCTCAGGAGCGTTCATGTTGATGCCACAGGTGCTACCAGAAGCAGAACCACTCCTCCTGTTCTCCTGCCTTCAAATCTTACCGGAGTGGCTAACTGAACCCCGCTGGCAAGGGAGTCCAGGAAAGTATGATTTTTAGCTTTTCAGTCTCAGCAGCAGAGGAGAGATTATAGATGAGTTGGTAGGAGCTGAGTACCAATGAAAACACATGACCCAAATCATCTTCACACTTCTATAGGTGAGAAAACTGAGGCTCAGGGAGATGACAGTGGCTTGTCCTCTGTGGCACATCTGGAATTTGAATCCAGGTCTATACCTTGGAAAAAGGTAGAGATAATGAACCCACACTTAAATAAGGCTCTACCCCAACCCTAACTGAGCTTTCTCCTTGAGAACACCGAGGGTTGCTTCAACTTGAATGATACTTAGAAGTAGTTTTCAGTGGCACTGCTTTGGTGTAAAGTGTGTTTGTGTGTATATATGAGGGGATGTGGGTGTGGGAACGACTAGATACATCAAGAACTTCACGTGTATTATTGTTAGATTTTTATAGTTCGCCATCCTTAATTACAAGTGTGGCTTGTCGGCACTCCCTGAGTAATTGCATGTGTTGAGCAGATAGTTATTTATATTGCAATACATTTGAAAATGAACTTAACAAGTTTTGCTGAAATATACCAAAATTAACATTGTTTCAATCCAAACTAATTGCTTAAAATAGTTTAGTGCATATACATTTGCAAATTCAGACTTAACTTCTATACTGAGATACATTTTCTGCTGGCTTTCCGTGAAACACAGAAGTTATTGTGGAGAGGGGATACAGGATCCTTTCACTGGCATAGTCCAGGGAAAAGACTATTTAGTTTGCCAGGAAGAGGATCTTTTTGCCTGAGTAGCCATTGAGCCTTCTGTCTGGTGCTGTGTGTCACTTAGAGGTCTCGTAATGGGCATGTGTGTTTTCAGGCGAGCAGCCATTGTTGCATGTTGGCACATTCCTCTCCCTTTCTTGTGACAATAAATGCCCTATAAATGTTCCTGTCCTTGTCAGTCTTGTTTTATCTTCACACACATTTATCTTGCCTCTGGGCACAAATCCCTGCATTGCTGGATTAACTCTGGCATTTAACTGAGCTTTGTCATCAGCATGGAAAAATCTCAAAGCTTTAGATATAATAATAGGAAATTCTGTTTTGCTTTTGATGCCAATATAACATGTTTTACAATAGAGGCATCAAAATTTCCTATTTTTTCAGTTGTATACAAGCTGTTGAATTCTATTTGAGTCTAGAACAGTGATCCTTAACCTTTTAAGGTAACACTGAGAATTGGATAAAATGTTGGATTCATTCCCTGGGGGAAAAGGCACATATTTAAATATACATAAACATAATTCATATAATTTTCAAGGCTTATAGAGACCATGAAGTCTATTTGTTTAAACATTTCTAGAAAAGGAAAGCATATTTTCTGGTGGTTCAATGTATTTTCATTTTCCAGCTTCTATCTTTATCCTCAAAAATGTTTTAGTATCTACTGTATGCCAGGCAATGTGCTCAACAGCAGTCAGCAGAGTCCCTATCCTTTGGACATTTACAGACCATTAGGGGAGAAATATATGAATGACATAAATACAAGTGCTGTTATCTCTCTGGTGTGTTATATGAAGGAGAATTATGTGGTGCTTTGGGGAAAAGTAAGTAAACCTTTTCATTGAAACCTAGCATGTGTACAGGAGAGAACATGTCATACACGTAACTGCTTGATAGATGTTTACAAACCAAACACCTGTGTAACCAGCACTATTAGGGGTGGTTTGCCAAGGGCTGAGCCAAGGAGATCAGGGAAGGGTTTGCTGAGGCTGGACATGAAAGCTGGGATCTGAGATAAAGACACGACCATGTTTGTGTAAGGCTTCACTGTCCTTGGAGCAGGTAATAATGGAATTGGAGACCCTAGGGAACAGGTTACTTTGCGAGTCCCATTGACAGAGAATGGGGACTTGGACCAAAGTGGTGATGTGGAGATGGGAGGAAGTTGGTAGTTTCCAGAGCCAGTAGGAGATAAAGTTCGTAGGTCTGGGAGGGGCAATATGATGGGTGGAGGGGACAGAATGAAAGCCAGGCTTGTGTGGTGTTATGAATTTGGTGCCATGCACGGAAATAGAATCACCAGGAATTACAGGCTTGACAGGCATAGCTGTGTGATTTTAGTTTCTGATATGTCGAATTGATGATACTTCTGAGATGTTTAAAAGAAGGATTCACATGAGTTGTTGGATATAAGTCAGGATCTAGATTAGTTGCCTGGACTAAAATATAAATTTCTTAAAGATATTACTTGAAATATGGAATAGAGATGAAGTTGTCTAGGTGGACAGCATAGATAGAATGCAAAGAAAAAGTCAGGGACAGAGAAACTCTAACATTCCATGGCTTTGTTGAAAAGGATTAGCTAGGGAAGGAGACAGAGAAATGATGGCCATAGGAAAAATCAAGAGAGAAAAAAAATCTCTGCTTACCAAATTTCTTGATTCTCTATTCCTTCCCAGAATACTAGAGGCAGATTTATATCTCTCAGGCTTGAGATTAGAGAATCTCACTCTAAGAAATGGACAAGTGCAGAGATGAGACCTACAGATCATTCTGTGACATGCTTGAGACCACCCCATGTTACAGTCAGGCCATCAGTTAACACGCTCTTCATCATCCAGAGGGCCCATACCTTTTAGTGCCTAAAGCTTGACTAGGAAGACACAGGCTTGATCATCTGCATTGAGGATTGCTTCTATAGGGAAAGACAGAGACTGAAACAGGTGGGGTATGAGTTGAGTAGGTGAACTGGCAGGAAACAGAGACAAAATAAGAAATAAAAATTTATAAAACTGGCTCAGAGCCCACACAGCACAGTGGTTATGGTGCCAGCCGCATACACTGAGGGTGGCAGGTTCAAATGTGGCCTGGGCCAGCTAAACAAATGCAACAACAAAAAATAGCTGGGTGTTATGGCAGGCACCTATAGTCCCAGCTACTTGGGAGGCTGAGGCAAGAGAATCACTTAAGCCCAAGAGTTGGAGGTTGCTGTGAGCTATGACACTATAGCACTCTACCCAGGGCAACAGCTTGAGACTCTGTCTCCAAAAAAAAAATTATAAAACTAATTATCTTCATAAAATGAAAAACATATCAATGAATTACCATAAAAGGGTAAGAATCAACGAATATTTGTTCTTAGAGTTTAAATTAGTATCTAGAATTTAAAATAATCAATAGAAGGTTTAAAAGGTAAAATTAAAGAAATCTTCTTCAAAATAGAACCAAAAAAGCCAAAATATAAAATATGTGAAAATAAGAATAAAATTATTAAACCTAGATGTCAGGAGAAAATTTAGGGGCTAGAATGATCAAAGAAATAGTAAACACCAGAAGCAGTGGCATAAGCCTAAAATCCCAGCATTTTGGGAGGTGGAAGGATCATATGAGGCCACTGTAGGCAACATAGCAAGACCTCATCTCTACAAAAAATTAAAAACAGATTTAGCCAGGTGTGATGGCAGTGCCTATAGTCCCAGCTACTCAGGAAGCTGAGGCTGGAGATGCACTGAGCCCTGGAATCCTAAAGCTACAGTAACTACGAGCAGGCAACTATACCCTACACTCCTGCCTGGACAACAGAGCAAGATCCTGTCTCTTTAAAAAAAAAGAAGAATCCACCAAGCATTTGACATAATAGATTAAAAAAATAAAAATTAGATCCCTACTCAGATTCATTATCATTAAATTTTAAAACATTATAGGTTAAGAGAGAATTTTATTTTATTTTTTTTTGAGACAGAGCCTTCTCAACCGGCTAAGGCGTCAGCCACGTACACCTAAGGTGGCGGGTTCGAATCCCCAGCCCGGACCCGCCAAACAACAATGACGGCTGCAACCAAAAAATAGCCGGGCGTTGTGGCGGGCGCCTGTGGTCCCAGCTACTTGGGAGGTGGAGGCAAGAGACTCGCTTGAGCCCAGGAGTTGGAGGTTGCTGTGAGCTGTAATGCCACGGCACTCTACCCAGGGGGACAGCTTGAGGCTCTGTCTCAAAAAAAAAAAAAAAAAAAAAAAAAAAGAGACAGAGCCTTCAAACTGTTGCCCAGGGTAGAGTGCTGTGGCATCACAGCTCACAGCAACCTCCAACTCTTGGGCTTAAGTGATTCTCTCTCTCTTTTTTTTGAGACAAAGTCTCAAGCTGTCACCCTGGGTAGAGTGCCATGCTGTCACTGCTCACAGCAACCTCAAACTCTTGGCCTTAGGTAATTGTCTTGCCTCAGCCTCCCACGTAGCTGGGACCACAGGCCCCTGCCACAATGCCTAGCTACTTTTTGATTACAGTTGTCATTGTTGTTTGGCAGGCCCGAGTTGGATTCCAACCCGCCAGCTCCGGTGTATGTGGCTGGTGCCTTGGCCTCTTGAGCTACAGGTACTGAGCTGAGAGAATTTTAAAGGCTTGAGGTAGGGAGGGATGTATGAGAAAGGTTCTGTTACAAATGATGATGAATCAGAAAAACATTGAGATGCTTAGTAGTAATATCAGAAAGAAGACAAGCATTGCCTTCAAATTCTGAAAAGTTATTTTCAATTTATCATAGGATTCTATGCCCAGATAAACTGTACTTGTACATGTAGAATGAAAACATTTTCTGAAATTTTAGGTGTCAAAACAATGCATGTGCCATTAGCACAACTGAAGGACACAAACAACACAGACACAAGCAGCCGTCAGACCTGGAAATGTGGGCCCATCATACAAGGAGGCAAAGGAACTCCCTGGGTCCTGGTGAAGGGAGGTTGTCAAAAGCACATCTGTGCAGTAGTCCTGGACAGCGGGAGGTCTGGATATGAGCAGGAGGGCAGGGGGCTCCGGGAGGTGTAAGTGGAACTTGCCGATTACCTGAGGACCCGTGTCAGGAGAGTGTTGCAGTTCTCTCAGCGAGGGTAGGTGAAGAATTCGAGATAAGCAAAAGAATACTAAGCAAGTGATTTATATATGGATAAAACTAGGCAATCATCTTTTCTCAGAAAATCTAAAACCTGTAAAAGAAGGGAATTGTATTCCTAGATGACTAGTTAGATCATCTGTGAACAGAATTTGTATAATTGCATTTATGTTAAATAGTTACGTAAAAATTTGATAGAAGGGACAGGGACCACGTATTGGTGTTATTCAATGTGTGCATCTTGTGGGAAGTGGGAGAACATAAGCTGTCGTGGTGGCATTAGAGCCAGGTCTACCCCCATCAGAGTGGGAGGGCGCTAGGTGACAGATGGCAGGTAAATGGAGCATGGGCATAGATGCTTCTCTCCAGAGGGCTTTGAGGGAGAGAGGGGAGGCTGGACAGAAGTTGAGTAGGGATGTAGTGTCAGAGAAGGTCTGTTTGTTTAAGTGGGAGAGACTTGAAAATGTTAGTAGCCTATAAAAACAGTTTTTCAGAAGGGCACTGTTGAATATTTGTGAGCAGTAGAAGGGTAGTGGGTGAAAGTCTTTGAGAAGATCTGAAGTGATGGGACCCACATTCCACCCGCAGAGCCACTGACCTTTGTTATAAGGATCCATTCCTCAGTAACAGAAAGGGAGGTGTTGGTTAAGTTTTCATTTCAGGTAGCAGGAAGATGGAAGAGATCCAACTGATGGCTGCTCTTTCCTTTGGAAGGAGAAAACAAAGGCATATGCTGAAACAGAGGTGCCAAGGGTCAGAGGGTTGCAAGGTGAAGACCTTGAAAAAGCTTTGTGCTTAGGTCAGAAGAAGGTAGTAGGGTTGCTGACCCAGGTTGTGGTCCCATTTGAGGTTTATGAATTTGGATTCCCAGTGTAACTAATATCCCTCTTGCATGTGACACTTTCCGGCCCTGCTCAGTCAGCTATGGAGGTCCAGCTTGGGGAGCCTGCACAGCCAGATTCCCCCATGCAGGGGGTTTGCCAAAAAGATGGAATGGAAGGCAGAGGTGGGGAAGGGTTATGTATTGGCAAGCATGTTATGGAGATGATGGCCTTGGAAATGTAACCCAGGTAAAAAGGATGAGAGGTGAAGAGCTGAGAGGAAGTAGCAAGGTCAGTCTTTGTTGGGGTCAGAGGAAGTAGCAAAGTCAGTCCTGCTGGGGTCAGAGGAAGAGAGCCCGGAAATAGTTGATGAAGTAATAACAATAACAGTTTACTTTTACTGAGTGCTAACAATGGCTCAAGTCCTACTCTATGCATTTCAAGTGTGTCAATTCATTTTATCCTTTAAAAGAAGTTCTATTAAGACTGAGGCACTGAATCAAGAACTAACTTGTTTAAATCACACAAATAAATCATCACTGGGGGAGAGGAGATTCACATTCAGGGCATCTGGCCCCAGGGCCCCCACTTTTAACCAGGATGCCCAGTGAGGCTGTGTGGAGGTAAACAGGAAGGGGAGCTTATGTTCAGCTGGGTCTGGAGGTGGTTACAGGTAATCAAGTCTGAAGTGTGACTGCAGAGTTGAAGTGGAGAAGGTGGTCTGAGAAAAGAGGAGGGAGACTTTGGGATGTTAGAAAGGACATTGGAGTGAGAGCTGGTGTTAGATTATGGCCGAGATGGGCTTGTGGATTGCAGACCTGAAGCTACAAACTCACTGGATGAATGGAATTCGCTAGGCAGACCCCACGAGACTGGGGCCAGCTGGTGGCGTGTTACATTTCTGGGACCTGTTATAGGTTTGGGCATACATAGATGTTAGATAGACTTAGATGTTTGGTGAATGAACAAATATAAAATAGATAGGCGTGAACTGAAGTTAAACTCGTTTGGGTGTGCTTTCGTTAGCCTGCTGATAATTTTTTGTTTTCTTTAATGTCTGCATTTATTTGTTTTCCATAGGAAAGCCCATAACAGTGGTGAAGACTCGGATCTAAAGCAAAGGAGGAGGTAAAAAACAAAACTTGAAGGAGAGTCAGCGAGAAGGAGGAAGGGTCAGCAGATGAGCAATACTCAGAGTGGTCAGAGTTGAGGCAAGAGTGGAGGGATTTTGTTTTTTCTCGCAAAAACCAATTTGGCTTCAACTGATTGCCAGCCTTCCATTCTGTGGCATCCTTAGACGTTTCTCTTTTTTCTGCTCCTCTGTGTCTCAGAGGAGCTGTTTCACTAACCTTTTGCTATATTGTAAACCCTCTAAAACTTGATGGTTTAAAGCAACAACACCCATATTTATCTAGTGTAATTCTGTCAGTTGAGCAGGAAGTTAGCTAGTCTTGTTTAGGGTCTTATGAGGCGTGGTGGTCAGATGGCAGCTGGGTAGTGTTACCTAAGGCACCTTGATCATGATGGCCTCTTGGCAGAATGGCTGGAGGGCTGGGACATCTCCACAGGGTCTCTCCATGTGGCTAGCCTAGGTTGCTTTAGGTGGTGGCTGAGGAAGCAGGAGCTGGCTGTCTATTAAAGGGTAGTGCCAGAATTGGCAGAGTATCACTTCCACCTCATTTTTTTGGTAAAATAAATCACAGGACTATTGTAAATTCAAGTGCTTGGGAAATAAACTCTGCCTCTCTCAGTGGGGTGGAGTATGTGACAAGACTTCGTTTTTATTCAGTCCACCAGGTGCTTATAGCTTTGCCATGTCAGAGTTCTGCTGGAAGTAATTGATTTTGTGGTCCTTTCTGGGAGCATGATGACATTGGCCTTAATCTGTTTCCATATTTCCCCTGCCTCAGTGTTTTCCTGAGCTGTAGACTCATTCAGATGTCTGAGTTCAGAAACAATGTCTGGCTGAGGGTTAATACAGCGTTTTGTGTTTGGTTAAGTAATTTTGCTGCAAAATCAATCCCAAAGAACCAATCTGAACATTTCTGAAATTTTTTATTTGTCATAAACATGTTTTTTCCTTCTGCTTTTATCATTTTGCCTTCAGGTCACGTTCACGCTGTAACACAAGCAGTGGTAGTGAGTCGGAAAATTCTAATAGAGAACACCGGAAAAAGAGGAACAGGTAATATCGGAACGTCGTAATAACTGGTGCTCTGAAATCAGAGGCTGTCACTGTGGTAGAAGCTGTCTATGCTGCATGTTGCTTAGCCAGATTTTCTAGTCTGTGTTTAAGAAGGAATCTGGCACTTTTCAAGCACTAAGTTTAGGAACCCTCAAATCTTGGGACTGAGTTTTTTATTTTTACAATAAGATGATTAAACAACTTGACAGTGAGGTTTCTTCTTTAAAAAAAGGATGGTTCCATATTTAGCTACAATATGTAGTGAATTTTACCAAGCCTGGTAAGAAAGCTTACCATTTGTAGAGAGATTTCTCCCTGAACTTTCAACATGGCCTTCCTATATTTTATCCAACCCCACATGAGAAAGTCATTATTTTGTAGACTTCATAGTTTTAGGTTCGTGCTAATTTGTTTATATTTGTGCCAGGCACCCACAGATGAGTGAATGTGGTTAGTTCATATTTGTAAGGCATATTTTTAAGAGCGTATTAAAAACATCATTTAACATGTAATCAGTATTATCAGTGGCTTAATTTATTAATCTCTTCTCCCTAGTTCAAAAACAGTTATCTGCAAAGAGAACAAGTACATGTAATTAATGCAAAGAGGACTAGGTTGGGCATTAGACTTGGTTGCCAGTTTCTAATGTAGTGGTTTCTTAACTGGGTGATTTTTGTCATCCCTGTCCCCTCCCTCCCTGAGACATTTGTCACTGTCTGGGGGCATTTTTTACTGTTATGATTGGGTGGGTCGTGGGGTTGCAATAGGACAGACATACTGTTAGACATCTTACAATGCACAGGACATCTTCTGACAACAAAGAAGTATCGAGTACAAAAACACATCAGTGGTGCCACTTTTGGGAAGGCTATTCTCACCTAATGTTGACGTCTGGCCTGGTTGCTTTACTTTTCTGGGTCATCTTTTTCTCTTCTGTAAAATGAGGAAGTTAGATTAGATAATCTCCAAGGTCTGTCTTTAGTGCTTAGAGCCCTTGTGCTTGGAGCAAATTGAATTAGACACCCTGTTTTACTCCAAAGACTGTGTGATAATAGCCCAGCATTGTACGAGTGGACCATTTTCTTAGGAAAGCTTTCTAAATGGAGCCTTCTTATGGGCTAGAATCACACCAGACAGATGTGGGATCTCAATGTGTTATGACACCTCTCTCGAGGAAATGATTTCAGTGTCTCTTTCAGTAAAAACCCAAGTGTAGGAGGTTGCTTTCCCTTAGGTACCCTCGTCCTACTATAAAATTCAGTATTTTTGCACAAACAACACAAAGCAAGAAAATCTACTTTCTTTTTGTATTTATAACTTATTGATCAAACCAGGGGATCTTAACAAATCTATTTCTGGTTTGCTCGGTGTGCTCACAGATGCAACTGTTCTCAACTGTTCGGGAGGTGTGGCCCATTGAAAAATAGTATCTTTTGGGGTCAAAAATATTCAGTGACATTTGTTGTCAAAAATGAAACACTAATGGTCACTTCATTCTAGTCAAGGGAACGATACAACCAGAGGACATTTTAATTCTAAATATTTATGTACCCAAATTAAATGCCCCTAGATTCCTGAAGCAGACTTTAATTGGTCTGAGCAATATGATATTCCAATAACACTATAATAGCTTGGGACTTTAACATCCCTCTGGCAGAACTGGATAGATCCTCTAAACAAAAACTAAAGAAAGATACAAGGGACTTAAATGTGACCCTAGAAGAATGGGCTTAATAGATAAATATAGAACACACCATCCCAAAGCTAAGGAATGTATGTTCTTCTCATTAATCCATGGAACATACTCCAAAATAGATCATATCCCAGGACACAAAACAAAATCAAAAGAATTGAAATTATACCTTGTAGGCGGTGCCCATAGCTCAATGGGTAGGGTGCTGGCCACATACACAGAGGCTGGCTGGTTCAAACCCAACCCAGGCCAACTAAACAATGACATCTGCAATGAAAAAATAGCAGGCATTGTGACGGGCAATTGTATCTCAATTATTTGGGAGGCTGAGGTAAGAGAATCACTTAAGCCCGAGAGTTTTGAGCTTGCTATAAGCTATGATGCCA